TAGGGGGGGCTGACTGGACTGTGGTCGTGATGTGTCAATCGTGGATGTGATTGACTCGTTGATCGAGTCTCTCAAATTGTGAACAGTGTCAGTGTCTGTGAATGGCACTTCAGAGAGGGCCGAGCGGCCCGCCGACCTATGGAGTACTCGGTAACGGCGCGGTACGTACCACTGTCGTCGGGGGGACTCGGTGACGGTGCCGACGGCGCCCGTCGACCTGAACTCTTTGGTCCTGGTTGGTCGTCTCTTAGATTCCCTGCTCCCCATACTTGCCCCGGGCGTGTCTGCCCTGGCCCTGGCACCCGCCTTCCCCCCGCACCACGGCGACAAGCTTGTTGCTCCTCCAAAAAGCTGTATAATCGCCACTTTCGGCGAGGTGGCCGTGCTGGAAAGGGGCGTCGCCCAAAGCATAAGACCCTTTCATCTCTCTCTCATATTCCCCCCTTCCCCTCCCCTCCTTCTCCCCCTACCGCCACGTGAGCCTTAGGGCATACACACACACGTGCGCGCACACACACACACACCTTCCCGGCCAGACGGCGGCCTTTGCGTTTTTATAGCGTAATTGTGCAATAACTAGATGGCTTTATGTATAATTCTTTATGATGGGCGGCGCGGCGGCTGCTTTTACAGAGGCGGCCGCGCCACTGGCCGCAGCCACATCAGTGGGGCCGGCACCGGACGGGCACCACCGGACGGGCACCACCGGACGGGCACCACCGGCCCGGCGCACCGTGTTTTGTTTATAATCGCGCGAATCATGAGTGTTGGCCTCACTGTGGCGCGGCTCACCGCCATACCGCCGAGCTCACCGCAGCAGCGCGGCCCCTCTTGCGGCGGCGGCGGCGGCGCCCTTCTTGTAGGCCGCGCGAGGTGAGGAGTCTTTCGCACTCCATCCCGAGCATGTTCTCTCCACTCTTCCTCTATGCTGCTGCTGGACGAGTTGTGCGGAGACCACTCTTCCTTCTCTCCCGCCAAAAATGTAGCACACAATTTTGAAACAAAAATCTTGATTGCTACTAGATTTTTGGGTACTCCGCTTTCCTATACTTACTTCTTGAGGTGTGTGTAACCCGTTCTGTCGCTCACTCGTGTGTGTCTCGGCCCCGTGCAGGTGGGGCGGCTGGTGTGATGAGGGTTACAGGACGCGCCCCGCAGCTGCCGACGCTCACAGTCTGGCTGCGAGGTTGTTGCGAGTCCAGCTAAGAGTCTAGCTGGTGAGCCTATCTGGTGAGCCCAACAAGACTACCCGGCGAGCCGCGGTGAGTCCCGCGGTGAGCCAGGTGGATACGCTAATCCGCCCCCCCCCCTCTTCAGCGGTGAGACAACTTAATCACGGCAACCCTGGCCGGGCCGGATGGCGTTTCTCTGCGGGGGACGCGGGGGGACCGCCAGCCCCGGTCCCCGCCATCGTCGCGGCGAGCTATCGTGCGCTTCGTATCGATCCTGTCGACTGGGCGTATGTGTGTGTGGTGTCGTGGAGCGGCCATCAGATGTGCCCCTTTTGTTCGCCGTCACGGCGCGTCATCGTCGTATTTCATCAATCAGAGCTATCGATTCATCGACGTGTTCGCCGGAGAGATATCGAGAGAAGGCGGGTGGGTGTATCGCCGGCTGTAATCACGTGGCCAGCGCTAAACAGCGTCTTCCTGCGCGGCGGGGCGGGGCGGGGAAGGGCGTGGGTGCCGCCGCGCCGCCCAGCGCCCGCTCGGCCCCGTGCACAAGATATGCATATTCCTTAACGGGCCGCGGAGAATCGCGGGAAGGGGACGACGAGTCTGGAATACGAGGATATCGCCTCGTTCTGTGCTTTACGAGAGGGCCCTGGTGGGCGGCGGCCGCGCGCGGCCGACCAGGTGGCGACCAGGGCGACCTCCCCGCGAGTCCACGACGGCGTCCTCCCCTCCGCCGGCGGCGGCTGCTCCTTCACGCTCTGACGCCCTCTCGCCCGCGGCCGCGGAGCCATCTAATCGAACAAGATCGCAGGTGATCGGGCTGTGCGCACGGCCGGCTCGCCGCGGGGGGGCGGGGCGGCGACCACCAGAGGCACCGGTAGTCCCC